GTATGTGTGCCAGATGCAATAAGCAATTCGATAATAGATTGAGTCAGATCAGTATCATTCCTAGATGCGACAAGATGTAATAAACCTGCCTTCACATATAAACGTTCGTCTATGTACGCAAATGTATTAACATTTACTCCACAATGAATCAATAATCGAATGACATTCAAAGGAGACACTCTAAAATACGAATAATATATTTTCAATGAATTATAAATTAATAATATTTACTGCTGAAAAAACGGATCATCAATCTCATCCAGACATCGTTTCAGAACATATACAAAGATATTTTCCAATTCATATCCAAACTTTCGTTGCACAGCTTGTTTTATCCATTGACCTAATTGATATTTATTTTCTATAGTAATTTGATCATTTGCCAATAACTGAAAATCGAAAAATAATATTTTCTTCATTCTATTGCAATACTTACATAGGTAACATACAAACATGAACGACTTGCGTACCAAGACCGTCCTGAGTAATCAAAAATCCATTGGAATGTTTGCATGATCTTATCTATATATTTTATATTATCTTGCGTAATAAGTATACCTAATAAATCAACTATCAGTTGTAAACATGTTATATTCCAATAAGTAAATGAAATCCCTTTAGATAATAAAGTCAATGGATAAATATATATTAATAACGACAAACAATAATCATATTCTTTAGAATCATGATAAATATCATAAAGTTTGAAAAATTCTGGAATAAGAAGATGCATTTCATTACGTTGTCGAAGTAATCGTTCACCAACTAAGAAACCTTGAATATACATTAATGGAGAATTATTTCGGATCATTTTTAATTCATCAATTGTTCGACATTCATTTCGAAAAAGATAAAAATCATATGACGGTGCAATATTAATATTTAATTCTTGCAATTGTAATGCTTGTTCAAAATATTGAAATGCGATAAATCCATTTCCGAAAATATCAAATCGTTCATAAAATGCCCAATGACAAGCTAATAACATTAATTCATCAATATAATTTTGTCGAGAATAGAATTTATAAAAGAGATCAATGATATTTTTATTCTTATTTTCTAATGCCAGCATTAATGGAGTAAGATTTTGTTTGTTTCTTTGATTGTGTTGAAATTTACGATGTAGAATTTCTCGAACACTTTTTTCATTTTCACATCGAACAGCTACATGTAAAGCAGTTTCATTATCTTCATTTACAATTGTTAGGTCGGCATTATAACGAAAGATAGTTTGAACAATCGATATATCGGAAGGGATCTGACAAATAGCATAATGTAATGCAAAATAAGTCGAATCTGTTGATTCATCAATTAAACGAGTATTTGGATCACATCCTTGAATTAACAAATAATCAATAATACCATAACTTCTTGTTTGAAGAGCAAGAAACAGATGTCGAGTTTCATCTATAAACGCATTGGCTTGTTCAACTAAATATCTAATANAGATAGTTTGAACAATCGATATATCGGAAGGGATCTGACAAATAGCATAATGTAATGCAAAATAAGTCGAATCTGTTGATTCATCAATTAAACGAGTATTTGGATCACATCCTTGAATTAATAAATAATCAATAATACCATAACTTCTTGTTTGAAGAGCAAGAAACAGATGTCGAGTTTCATCTATAAACGCATTGGCTTGTTCAACTAAATATCTAATAATATCGTAATGTTTTTGAAAAATAGCTGCATGAAGAGGTGATTGATATTTATCATTAGGAAGATCAACATCTGCATTACCATATTTTATTAATTTATGAACTATATTTAAATGACCATAATAACATGCAAACCATAGAGGTGTTCCGCCATATTGATCTGGTGAACAAGTTTGCAATAGATTATTTTGTATTAGATTACGTAAATGTTCATTTAATTGTATATTAATATCAATATCACATAATTCGTTCAAACATATGTCAATCAATTGGTTATTTCCTTCACATGCAGCAACGAATAATAATATTTCGAAGGGATAGTATGATCTAAAAATGTTTCTGATAAGTATTGATTTTTTTCTATGCATACATACTCTTTCCGAGACGGGAAAATATTGATCGAGTTTTTAAATGATGTGGGAACTGAATAAAATAACAAAATTTCGACTTTTGTTTGGTTACTATCATCGTCAGCTTCATCGAATGAATTTGAAGTTTTATCAGTACGTAAATTAATCAACGAATTTTTCATCCGACTGCCATTTGATGTTGTTCTTTGCTCGATTTTATATCGCTTTTGTTTCAGTTTGGCATTGTTGTATTTTTGTATTTGAGAACGATTGTATTTTGCACGATCATCATTGATAATTTCCATCTATGTGAAAAAATTATGAAGAAAAACTACCTTAAGAAAATAAGGTATTTATACACATCATGTGAGGTAGAGAAAAATATGAATCATTCTCATTTAATTGGGAGTTGATCAAATGATAACATACATACTCTTACACAACTACATGAAATTATTACCTATTTTATGCAAAAAAAACAAAACTAGTGTACATTCTTGACAATGATTGAAGAAATTACATTATGGTCACAATTTACATAAACAAATCGAACTATTCTGGAAGTTCATTACAAATATGATGAGAAGAAGAAATTATAATATGTGTTCTTCTCTTATCTTTGAAAATTAAAATGTTGTTGGAAATAATATTCATCTGTGCCTGTGCAATGAAAACCGTTCTTGTTCATAATACACCAATATCTNAGATAGTTTGAACAATCGATATATCGGAAGGGATCTGACAAATAGCATAATGTAATGCAAAATAAGTCGAATCTGTTGATTCATCAATTAAACGAGTATTTGGATCACATCCTTGAATTAACAAATAATCAATAATATCATAATTTCTTGTTTGAAGAGCAATAAACAGATGTCGAGTTTCATCTATAAACGCATTTGCTTGTTCAACTAAATATCTAATAATATCGTAATGTTTTTGAAAAATAGCTGCATGAAGGGGTGATTGATATTTATCATTAGGAAGATCAACATCTGCATTACCATATTTAATTAATTTATGAACTATATTTAAATGACCATAATAACATGCAAACCATAGAGGTGTTCCACCACATTGATCTGATGAACAAGTTTGCAATAGATTATTTTGCATTAGATTACGTAAATGTTCATTTAATTGTATATTAATATCAATATCACATAATTCGTTCAAACATACATCAATCAATCGGTTATTTCCTTCACATGCAGCAGCAAATAATAATATTTCAAATGGATAGTATGATCTAAAATGTTTCTGATAAGTATTGATTTATTGTTTTTTTTCTATGCATACATACTCTTTCCGAGATGGGAAAATATTGATCGAGTTTTTAAATGATGTGGGAGCTGAATAAAATAACAAAATTTCGACTTTTGTTTGGTTAATATCATCGTCAACTTCATCGATTAAATTTGAAGTTATATCAGTACGTAAATTAATCAATGAATTTTTCATCCGACTACCATTTGATGTTGTTCTTTGTTCGATTTTATATCGCTGTTGTTTCAGTTTGATATTGTTGTATTTTTGTATTTGAGAACGATTGTATTTTGCACGATCATCATTGATAATTTCCATCTATGTGAAAAAATTATGAAGAAAAATTACCTTAAAAAAATAAGGTATTTATATATATCATGTGAGGTACAGAAAAATATGAATCATTCTCATTTAATTGGGAGTTGATCAAATGATAACATACATACTCTTACACAACTACATGAAATTATTACCTATTTTATGCAAAGAAAACAAAATTAGTGTACATTCTTGACAATGATTGAAGAAATTACATTATGGTCACAATTTACATAAACAAATCGAACTATTCTGGAAGTTCATTACAAATATGATGAGAAGAAGAAATTATAATATGTGTTCTTCTCTTATCTTTGAAAATTAAAATGTTGTTGGAAATAATATTCATCTGTGCAATGAAAACCGTTCTTGTTCATAGTACATCAATATCTTGGTGATGAATGGAATTTATTTGAGTATACTTATGAAACGTTGCTCTTCATTAGAAATTGACTTGATGCATTTTTAATGAGAAGTAGTCTTCCTGTTGATAGAAGAGATTTTTCTAATAATATATATATAACGCTTGTCAAGAGTAACTCATTGACCCTTGACTGAATTAACAATTCAAGATAAAATAATCTCATGGTTCGATTCTCGTGACAAAAGAAACCTATGCCGATTCCCTTCATTCACATATTGCTTAGTAGAGGATATCGAGATAGAGAAAGGTCCTTGAGGATTTGGGCTGACAGCTCTTCCTTGAAAAGTTAGGTTCAGCTTTCTGTTTTTTTTTTCAGTGAAAAAAGGCCGTATGCACTTGACCATGATGAACGGTATAAAACAATATCACAATCAACTGATATAAAATCCAACGCTTTTGCACGTTCTGCTATATGATGGTGTGTGTGAGTCTTCAGAGTGAAGACTAACCCAGATCCTCACCCATCCGTAAATCTGTACAGATTTGCTGGAAGAAAACGTTTCGGCTGTATCGTTGTTTATTGATGAAAACAGAAACAACAAAAAACGGAAGACGAAACGAAAACGAACCGAATGAGAAGGAGAAGAGACTATCTGTGTATATGTGTTGTGAAAAACAACTGCACGTGACAGAGAGAGAACGAACGTGGGAAAATCCACAAAGGGAAGAAGAAGAGAGAAAACCAAAGGCGTCATGGAGACGCGTGACAAATTTACGTAGACGCTCTACACCATCCTCAAGTCTGAGAATAAATTCGTGTGAAAAAAAACACAAAAAACTTATATGTAAACACTAAAAAGAGCGATCTGGATAATCTCTTAACAATATTATTTAATTGCCTGTAAATTTTGTAAATAAATATGATGGTTAATGATCTATCGTGCGTTTTTCATCGAGATCTTTTTGAGAAAAAAACGAGGATCTTTCTCATCTCACTAAATTCACACTCAAAGAACCATTTATGTGTCATCCAAAATGATGAATTAAATTTGTCAATCAATATCTCATACTTTAACCGATCGAACTCTCCATGTCCCACATAATACATATGTTTAAGATTAAAGAAACGCAACTGGGGCATACAATTTGAAATCAATTTTTCCCATCGATAAGCATCTAAATATTCCATATTACTATTTTGCAATACGTATGGATATATCATAACATTTAAAACTTGTACATGACGAAAATAATCTGTTGCAATCAAATAGAAATCATGAAAACTAATACCTCGCATTTGAATGCAAACCTTTGTTAAAGAATTCCAGGAAAATAAACTCCTTTTTGTTCGTTTACTTGAAAAACCACAAAAATCGTCGATTGTTAAACGTCGTAATTTTGGCATATAGGATAATAAATCATCAAGTTGTTCAAGATTAAATGATTCATTTAATACAAGATGTTCTATGGAGCTCGATGCACTGGTGTATGCGCACGGCAATAATTTACATTCATTTAATGATATTTGACAATATTTCAAAGCGGGAAGATGAATGATTTCTATATATATATTGGGTGGAATTCCAACATTATTTGCGAATCGAATGGTTAATGAAGATAAAGTTGATAAGGAAAACAATTGATCTATAATTTGCCTCACGTAATTATTATCAAGTTTGTTTAAAGTAATTGCTTGAAGTTGTGTAAAGTTTTTTATTATCGGACTTAATGATAAAAATAGTTCATGAGCAAACGAATCGAATAAACGAAGCGATTTGATTCGAGGAGCATATGGAACAATGATACAATTAACATAACGTTGTAAAATAGATTCTGATTTTGATGAAATATCAACGGTAATCAGATGATTCGAATTAATAAATAGATTTCGAAATCGTTGGTTTACATCATAAAATGAATGAAATGCTTCATACGAATGTAAAAATTCAAATATTTCATAGAAAATCTCATTGGAAAGATCTTCAAAACTAGTCATTACTAAATAAAACCCAATTGATATGAAATGAAATATTTTTCAATGTTTTTTTTTATTTTCTACTTGACTCACTTCCTTCGAATAAAGAAAATGAGTCAGAAAATAAAAGTTAAAGAATGTTAGTATTTTTATTTGCAGAACATATACTCACATATATTATTTGATAAGAAGTATTGACTTTGTTCTTTCAAGGTTTTTATTATAGGAAAGTATAAATCTTTTTTCACACAATATGAAACGAAAATCACACTTTTCTTGAAGATAGATGTGAGCAGTAAAAGAAAACCCCCGCACCCCCAAAAGATCATGTTCTTCTCTTTCCTTTCTGTTTTTTTCTCAAAAGAAAGTCATTCTGATAGATCAACATAGCTAGAGAATTGATGCATAACTCATATATTGATTATATTTCGTGTTTTATTGATATCAAAGCGTAGGAAGGAAAAAAGAAGAAAAAAACAATGACATACAGAAAAGTTACTAATTAAGTCGTCATCAAGATGGTATACCCACGCACTTGTTAATCATTGTCTCTTTGTTAATAAAAGTAGCAGTGATATGAATACTCTTAATTCAAATTTTCTCGTTTTCTATCATATAGTAAAATGTTTTGATATTTGTTTCTATATGGTTTGTCTAAACATCTATGTTTTCTTTGAAAAATACAACTTGTTTTATTAGAAAATTATTTTGATAATCTCTATTGAGTATTTGCATCTATTATTAATAGACTTTTCGTTTTGATTTCCATCGAGAAAATGACTATTTCAGAAACATTTTATCGATTTAATACGATCTTTTCTAATAGTTTAAACAGTATTATTAGCAAAAAAATGAATGTCAATAATCTAATTTCAATATTAATTGGATAAACGGTAAGTCAGTTTTTTTTACTATTTGAGGGTAGTTGAGAGTGCGTGAGTCGAGGTTTGAGTGATGATATAGATCATTTACTATATTCACATCGATATCTACACCCTCACCTTCTAGTTGTGATTCTATTAATTCTTCGGATCAATTTCTTCAACTATCAACATATATTCAAAGGATTAAAAATATGACAACTTCATTGATAACAAGTTATGCATCATTGAATCGTAATAATGCAATTCTTTTTCTTTTGGTATCTATTCTCTTCTAGTAAATAAATCTAATCATTTTTATCGATTCGCATCTATCTACCGTAATATTCGTGTAGAAGAAACATAGTTTTCATTCTGAAATATCCATTATGATATCTTTACAAGTATGAGGTGATTTTAACTACATTAGAAATGAATTTGATGTGCTCGATAAGGATATCGATTAGTTAATTTAACGTACAAATGGGCGTTGAAAATGTTTTGAATTACTTTTGATTATCATCTGTATGGATATATAGACGATAATATGTAACATTTAACTAAAGAATGTTTATTTCTTTTGTGTCTATATTTCGGTACGAAAACACATAAGACCTCGTATTTATTTCATACATGTCATACACGATATATGTTCAATTGATCAAGGAAAAATATGAACGTACTTTGTGAGAGTAACTTTTTTGTCTAGTGCTTATCGACCAGGTGACTTTGCTCCAATAAAATCGTCATCTTCAATCAGACACCACGCACAAGAATGTTCTTTATAGTCAATTATAATGCGGCCATCGTTAGCATCTGCCGTCAGATACATTTCAGGTCGATCAACTGGGTTGATGATGTAATTGCCACTGTTGGCCAGTTCAACATACCAATGTTGATTAGTTGCTGTATGATTTGTTTGATTAAATCCGGGATCTTTTAGACTTCCGTTAAAAACAAGTGATCTCGTAGGACCGAAGAATCGAGATGTTATACGATAAATATTCGGAGTATAGCCATCTGCTGGAATAAAACGGAGCAGTCATACTGCGAAGTCGTAATAATTTGGGTAAAGATAAAAGTTTCCTCCCAGGATACCAGCGCTACTAATAAAGTTGCCTGTGTACATGAATAATTCATTAGAACAATATATTATATAGTTATTCGACGAGAGAGTATCTAATACAAAACAGTAAATGAAGATTGATTATTGAGAAAAAGGAAAAGATGAATTATTAAGTATTTACCTTCATTTGATCCGTGTATAAATTCTTGCAAATAAATAGAGAAAATCTTACTATAATAACGGGTGCGCCAGGTGAAATGGACCTCTCAGTATTTTAGCGATATCTTTTTGAGCTTTAATCTGATTCGACCAATTTTCTTTTTAAAATAACCGCCGACTCGAGCTCTACAAATCCCTTTATTCGATATCCTGATTTGTGATTAAGAGAAGTTTTCGAAAAATGAAAAGTAAAGATCTTCAAAACGTCGTACTATCAAAGTACCAAAAAGGTGATACTCCAACAGAAATTTATCATGATTTAAATGGTGGTGTTGGGTTAACAACAATAAAACGGTGGTGTCGGATGATTCGCCAATGCGGATCTATCCAATTACTAGGAACACGAGGTGATTCACGTACTATAAGAACTGAACAGAATATTCGAAAGGTCAAAAATCGTTTACGCCGGACTAAAAGAGGAATATCATCTCGAATACTATCTCGAGATCTTGGTATTTCTGAAACAAGTATTAGGTGAATATTAAAAATTGATTTAGGACTAAAACCCTATAAAAAAGTCATCGAACCATCAATTTCCGATGATCAAAAGGTCAAACGGAAACAGTTTGCGAACTGGATTCGAACAGACTTTCGAAAAGAAGATTCTTTAAGAATTCTTTTTTCTGACCAGAAATTTTTTTATATTGACGGAGTGTATAACGCTCAAAATGATCGAGTGTGAGCCCCGAGTCGTGCTGATGCCGATATGAAAGGTGGCATTAAACAAAAACGAAAGTTCCCACAAAAAGTAATGGTGTGGCTTGGCGCTTGTTCCAAAGGTATCACACCTTTGGTAATCTTTGATAAAGGAACGGTTAACCATGAGTCTTATATCAAAAAAGCACTTCCTGCAGCTTTGAGGAATGGGAATAAAGTTTTTGGTGATAATTGGACCTTTCAGCAGGATGGCGCCAAGCCGCACCAACATCATTTAACCCAGCAATGGTGTGAAGCAAATTTTCCATCATTTATTAACAAAGATCGTTGGTCTGCTAATAGTCCGGATTTAAATCCGTTAGACTATTCAATTTGGGAGGAACTGCTCAATGCCATGGATTGGAGTAAAATTCGTTCAAAAGCAACACTCATTCAACGATTTGATGTGTTATAGCGTTTTCCGGGAAATCGGGAAATTCTAACCTAACCCACGGAAAAAAAAATCAAGTAAAACCGCTTGAAACCGCGATTTCCTGAACCGCAGTCTCAAACGGTTTTTTCTAATCGCAGGAGTCAGACCGTTAATGCGGTAAAAAAAAAACCGGTC